GACAGCGCAGCAGTACTGTTTCCAGCACTGAAAAAACTCAACTCTATCCAGAATGGATGGTCTTGAAGAATGGATGTTACCAGGTGGAGAAGTTGTTGCAGTATTTCCCTGTCTTGAAGAGTTGAGCATTGAGGAGCATGGCAAGTTGAGGCAACTCCCAACACTTGGATGTCTTCCTCGCCTTAAGATTCTATATATGAATGGAATGCCTAATGTGAAATGTATAGGCAATGAGTTCTATAGTAGCAGCGGTGACAGCGCAGCAGTACTGTTTCCAGCACTGAAAAAGCTCACTTTGTGGGGTATGGATGGTACCAGGTGGAGAAGTTGTTGCAGTATTTCCTTATCTTGAAGAGTTGAGCATTGGGAGGTGTGGAAAGTTGAAAAGCATTTCGATATTTCATCTATCACGTGATGAACTGAGATATTTGTCTGGTGAGTTTCATGGCTTCACATCTCTTCGAGTTTTAAGGATATGGAGCTGTCCAAAGCTGGCATCCATTCCAAGCATACAACACTGCACAGCTCTGGTGGAATTGATGATAGATAACTGCGATGAGTTGATCTCAATTCCTGGTGATTTCCGAGAATTGAAATATTCTTTGAAGAGATTAATTGTTAGTGGGTGTAAATTGGGAGCTCTTCCAAGCGGACTACAATGTTGCGGATATGGTATTGGAGTGAGCTTATCCATATCAATGATTTGCAAGAATTGTCTTCGCTTCGAATATTATGGATTAGAGGTTGTGATAAGCTCATCTGTATTGATTGGCATGGTTTACGACAATTGCATTCTCTTGTTGAATTAGAAATCACCGCGTGTCCCAGTTTGAGTGATATCCCAGAGGATGATTGCTTGGGCGGCCTCACCCAACTGGAGGTTTTGAGAATCGGTGGTTTCTCAGAGGAGATGGAGGCTTTTCCTGCAGGAGTTTTGAACTCAATCCAACACCTCAACTTGAGTGGGTCCCTCAAACACCTAGCGATATGGGGATGGGATAAACTGAAGAGTGTAACCCACCAACTTCAACACCTCACTGCCCTCGAGGAATTGTGGATATGTGGTTTCAACAGTGAGGAGTTCGAGGAAGCATTGCCAGAATGGATGGCCAACCTTTCTTCTCTTCAATCTCTTTCGATTGTGTATTGCGAGAATCTCAAGTATATGCCAAGTTCAACAGCCATTCAACGCCTCTCCAAATTCAAGCGATTGGAGATTTGGGGGGGGGTGTCCGCATCTATCAGAAAATTGCAGAAAGGA